ATCAGCAATCTGGCACTAATTTCGGCTAGCATAACTTCAAATTCCAGGGGTCACCACACCAACCTGTCGCTACTGTGTGGTGGTGCTACTTGCTGCATAAGTCATTCCACTTTATTTTTCTCCATTTATTGTTATAACCTGCTCATGGTTCCAATGAATAAAAGAAATGCTTCTCATTGTGTAAAGCACATACACCATACATTGTTCATAAAAGATAAATTGGCTTTGAAGCCACTGTCGGTCACCATGAGCTCAGCTCATTCAGATAAGCTGTGACCGGTAAATTTGGGCCTACATATGAGAGAAAATGTCTGCATGGTAAGTGTGCACTATATATAAAAAAAATCCTGCAGCACACAGTGCATAATGAGAAAAAACTGCGACCATGTTTATGGTGTAAACTTGACTTTGCGGTGTATTTTTGTATGGTTTGTATGGTTGTATTCTCGTTTTTTGGTCTCATTTGATAGAATGGAAAATATATTACAGAAATAGATATGATTTTGATTGGTTTCATGCAGGACAGTAGCTTAAAATTGAACTCAAAGTAGCAGAAATGTTTGATTTTTGCCAATGTTCAAGAGTAAACAAATGACATCACTCTCCAATACGTGTCCAACTGGCCGATCTGATACGAAGTCACGAGTAGGTTGACATTATTTATACAGTTACATTATTACAATAATACAGTAGTCTGCATAACAGTAAATCTTCTATTTTTTTGTGTGAATAAAAATTCAAAATGGAAAGCAGGCATAATATAAGAGGGGTCTGGAGATGTGACTAATGAACAGAGAAAATGCTATTTTAGTGCTAGGAATATCTGCAGTGTTTATTCTGGACCCTATTTTGAAATTGGCATCTTTTGAAATTTGTGTGAAATTGGCCAAATTGCCAATTTCTGACCACTTTATTGGATAGTTGAAATAGGCGAATGGGCAATTTCTTGTACTCAGTCAACAGAACAGAAGGAATACTAACAAAATAGCTATGAGTTTGGTAGACTGGAACAATTAAATGCTTAAATATCGCCATTGGGTTAAGTGTATTTTAACCTAACCACTCTGTAATCCGGCAAAATCACTAATCTGGCACCCTACAGGTCCCAAGATGCCCAATTAGTGATGGCCAACCTGTATACACTTGGAAAATCCTAGAGGGATTAGTACCAAACTTGCTCACGAAAATCACTCCCTATAAAAGCAAAAGACTCGGTAGATGATGCAACATCTCCCCCCCCCATGAAAAACAGGTGCCACTAGCATGATAAGAGACAACACAATAAGTGTCAGGGGCCCAAGACTGTTCATCTGCCTCCCAGCATGCATAATGGGGATTACCAATAGACCCCTAGCTATCTTCAAGAAGGCACTGGACAGGCACCTAAAGTCCGTACCTAACCAGCCGGGCTGTGGTTTGTACATTGGGTTGCGTGTGGCCAACAGTAACAGCCTGGTTGATGAAGCCCTGATCTATCATGAGGCCTGGTCACAGACCAGACCGCTGGAGCATTGGCCCCCAAAACCCTCTCCAGGTATTACTTTGGAGTTTTTTACATTCCTAGTCCAGGGGCCTGCATTGGCTGGCAGTGCCCCTGCACAAGAAAAAGCCTGATATTGTCTAACTAAAATTTAAATTTGAAAATCTTATTTTAAAGGTAGTTACATTTGATGGAAACTAGTGGGTACGAAGGGAAGGGTACTAGTAATATTGGTAGAGGAAATTCTGATTCACAACAAATAATGTTGAAATTTTAGTCATAGAATCTCAAATAAACATAAAATTGTTAGTCATTGCATATACTTAATGAGGGATTACTTAATATAATAAGGGAACTATTACTGTTTTCAGCAATTGTTTTTTTAATTGAAGATTTAAACTACAGTACTGTATGAAGCAAAAAACTGGGCATCCTGTGAGGTTGGAATTAGAAATAAATGATTAGCAGAACTCCTTAACTGTAATAACTATTTTTTTTTTTTAATAATTTGGCATATGCATGAAGTGACATGAGTGATTATAAAGACAAATACAGTACAGTGCTTTAAGGCATTATTTTAAAGAAACTTAATGGGATATCATACGTAAATACAGTATACAGTGGACCCCCGGTTTACGATATTATTTCATTCCAGAGGTATGTTCGGGTGCCATTACTGAACGAATTTGTTCCCATAAGGAATATTGTGAATTAGATTAGTCCATTTCAGACCCCCAAACATACATGTACAAACGCACTTACATAAATACACTTACATAATTGGTTGCATTGGGAGCTGATTGTAAAGCGGGGGTCCACTGTATGTACAAAGAGTTCTGTAACATTTAGGAAATTGGAATTAAACAGTGTACGTATTTCAAAATGGAGTAAAAGAAGAGATATTAAGCCTTTCAGGGTCCGTTCCGTAGATCTACGGCTTTACGTTCAGGGTCCAAACCGTAGATCTACGCCATGAGCTCAGCTCACTCTGATAAACTGTGAGTGGTACATTTGGGCCTAGATATGAGAGAATACATCTATGTGCTATGTGTGCACCACATAAAACAAATCCTGCAGCACACTGTGTATAATGAGAGAAAAAAACTGAGACCATGATTTTCGATTAAAACAGCGACTTTGCAGTGTTTTTCGTATGTTTTTTATAGTTGTATTTGCGATTTCTTGGTCTCATTTGATAGAATGGAAGACATATTACAGAAACAGAGATGATTTTGATTGGTTTTAGCACTGGAAATGGCTTGAAACTGAGCTCAAAGTAGCGGAAATGTTAAATTTTTGCCGATGTTCAAGAGTAAACAAACGACCTCACACGTCTAATACACACCAGCTGGTGGGTCTAATATACATTCACAAATGTGGTGATGATATTTATACAATTATTACAATATTGCATAACAGTAAATCTTCTATTTTTTGGTGTGAATAAAAATTCATTATGTGAATAAAAAATCAAAATGGAATTTATTTATGAAGCCTCAAAACATAACTAATGAACAGAGGAAATGTTTAGTACCAGGAATACCTACATTGTTTATTCTGGACCCTATTTTGAAATTGGAATATTTTGAACTTTGTGTTAAATTGGCCAAATTACCAATTTTCCATCTTGTTGATATCTTTATGCTAAATGCTTATAACATATACAAGTTGAAGACCAACAAAACACCAAAATATGGTGAATTTTGTTTGTCAGTAATCAGACAAATAATCGCAAAGTACCAAGGAGCATCACCTGCAATAGACCAGCGCCCACGAAATTACCCACACACGTCATCTCGTTTCAGGCCTGGTGATCACTACCCCATACAACTGCCTCCTACTACTGCCAAGAAAAATGCTCAGAAGAGGTGTTATGTATGTACACATACCACAAAACTCCCAAAAACATGCAGAGACACTCGTTTTATGTGTGAGGAGTGTCAAGTGCCCCTCTGCATATACCCATGTTTCAAAGAGTTCCACAAGCTGCAACAGTTCTAGGAACATGTTTAGTGACTGTACATATGTATATATATTATGGAACAGTAATAAACATTGTTTTGTATTGTTTGTTTGTGTAAACAAAGTGTATACACAAACTAATAGTGATAAAGTTTGTTCAGTTATTGTGTTGTAAACAATGAGTGTATATTTGAACAATGCACCTTACATTGGTCTCACAGGCCACATAAGTTACTTGGAAAAGAAAAATATTGAAAAATGCAAGAAACCTTTGAATTAGAGTAAATAAAAGAATACCAGGTGGGCGACAGTTCGCCGCTGTTGCCGTACGCACGTCACTTTCTGCAAACTTTGCGGCTCTATATCTCGGCAAGTACTGATGGCAAAAAAATTTTTTTTTAGGCTTAAAACACTCAGAAAAATATTCCTAACATTTTCATAAGAAAAAATAATTTTTTTTTTTTCAAATATCTGGCGACATAGAATGACAGTTTCAGAAAGGGGCCTGAAACAGTCAAAGGGTTAATGTAAGGTGCTGGAAAGCACTGAAAAATAAAGAAAGGACTTGGAAATATTATAGGAAGTGGGCCAATTCAGAGACATAAGAGATACAAACAAGCTAGAAATGAATACATACATGTAAGGAGGGAGGAAGAAAGAACTTCAAAAAAGAAATATTAGACAAGAGTAAGGTAGAACCAAATCTATTGTTAAAATTTGTATAAAAGTGAACTAAATGTTAAAGACAAAATACAAAGAATTAAGATTGACAAAAAAAATGAAGTGTAGGAAGAAATTTGTGAGTTACTAAATATTATCTCTATGTTTACAAAAGAAGATGCAGCACAGTACCAGTATTTTATGTGCAGCAGATGTAAATATCAGACAGTTGAGTTTCAGGATTTTCAGATAACTAAAGAGGTAGCAAAGAAATTGCTACTGCTGTAGTATGTACAGTAGTTAAGCTACCAGTAACACTGTACAAAAATTTATTTTGAACTAAAAGCTTTATTAACAAATGAAGTTATTAATGTATTTTAGAGTGGAGTATTTGGTTAGTGCAGCATTAATAACATGGCTGAATAAATATTTATTGGCATATGTTTTCTCATGAGTTTTTAGTTAATGATCTAAAAACATAAAAGGATAGTGGAAAAGGAATAGTTGTGATTCATTCAGTTTCCAAGTGCATTTTAGGGAGGATGTCTTGCTACTGCTGCTGGAGGGATTGTAATCCAAGGAATTTGTTCTACTCTCCCTTTCTGAGGATCAAACCTATTATGTCTCATTATCTGGTGTCAGATGATCCTTCTAGATTTTCCACTCCCTATGAATAATAATAATAGTAATAATAATAATACCACTGAATGTCTATGAATCAGTTATTTTATCACTATTTATTTCACCTGTATGCAAATATTTTTGTATTATTGTAGCTTCACCTTTCATTCTTTTGTGAGTTAGTTACTATAGTTTCTTCATCATTGTGGCAGCAATTTATATTTGTTACTTTGTATAATGGTGGTAGTCAGAGTAGATATAAATAAATATTTTTCAGAGTTGAGGTGAGCCAAAGAAAGAGTGCCGAGAAAATTCCTCTGCAAGGCATTTTTGTTGGAGCCAAAGTCATCAGAGGACCTGACTGGGACTGGGGCAACCAAGATGGTGGTGACGGTATGTTTGACTTTATAATTTATTATGTATATTTGTTGAATCTCCACTGGGAAGTGGAGAATTCTTTCATAAGCCATGCTTGTCGTAAGAAATGACTAAAATGCCAGGAGCAAGGGGCTAGTAACCCTTCCTGTATAAATTACTAATTGTAAAAAGAAGAAAAACTTGATGAAAGCATTTCTTCTTTTTCAGGTCACCCTGTCTCAGTGGGAGATGGCTGGTGCATTAAAAAAAATATTTGTTGAACATGTCTTTCTCTAGTTTTACTAAAATTTGAAATGAAATGTTTCACTTTATCTTTCACTCAGATTTGGTATCCCTGATTTGGTGCTTTCTCTGATTTATTTTAACTGACTTGTAGTGTTTCAAAAATTTGGGAAGGGAGATTTAAATATTTGCTGAATTTAAATATTTGATAGATTTAAAGTATTTGCTTGCACAGTCTAGTTTGTGTATCTTAGAGGCATCTGTCACCTTTGGCTTCCTCTGAAAAAATAATAATGTGCAGAATGGCTGAACAGAAGTTTCATTCAGACAGGTGCAATCCAAGAAACCCAAGTACAGTGGACCCCCGCATAACGATCACCTCTGAATGCGACCAATTATGTAAGTGTATTTATGTAAGTGCGTTTGTACGTGTATGTTTGGGGGTCTGAAATAGACTAATCTACTTCACAATATTCCTTATGGGAACAAATTCGGTCAGTACTGGCACCTGAACATACTTCTGGAGAGAAAAAATATCGTTAACCGGGGGTCCACTGTACAGTGGACCCCCGACTTACGATATTAATTCATTCCAGAAGGCTGTTCGGGTACTGTTACCGAACGAATTTGCTCCCATAAGGAATATTGTAAATTAGATTAGTCCGTTTCAGACCCCCAAAAATACACTTATAAAAGCACTTACAAAATACACTTACATAATTGTTCGATTTGGGAGCTGATCGTAAGTCGGGGGTCTACTGTAAATATATTACTACTGGAAAAGAGCTATGCATAGGTGAGAAATAAAAATAAATAATTGGGAATGCAGTATTCATTGAAAAGTAAAAAGTGCAAATGGAGAAAATGAAGCACAACACTCAGTGGTGTAGCAGTGTGAAGGGTAGCTGAAGAAGCCTCAGTAGGAAAACATGCATCCATAGGACTACCTTCATCCCTTCACTGAAGGTTCCTTGATACTGTAAAGGGGTCTTGGCTAGGGGGATTGGAGCTACACTCCTTTTCCTCGAATCAGATTTTATTACCACTGATTTACCAGGCATTGTGTAACAGTGTTTTCATTAATGACACACTAACTTCTGTCTTACTTTAAGTTGATGTTAAGCAGCAATTTACAGTAGTGTTATAAATAAAGTAAAGCTCTTAAATGAACATTATAATACAATTTCCAGGAATATAAAATATGGAAGGTAGGAGGGGTGAGGGTTATCCCAGGATTGGTTGGAAGATGGGGTAAAGGAGGCTTTAAATTTTAGGTTCTTGAGCAGCCGGTAGACTTGAATGAGTGTATGTATTAGATAGGCTTGAATGAAGACAAGTGGCTTTTAATGGATGTGCTGTTTTAGTGTTAACATGGTAGCATTTATGAAGAGATTGAGGGAAGCTGGTTAGGCTGATGCAAATCCTGGAGGTGGGAAGGGCAAGTGCCTAAACTGAAAGAGGTGCAGGGATGTTAGTCAGAGGATAATCTAAATTGTGAATTTATTTATTATTATACAGCCTTAAAACAAGTACAGGTCGGCATCATTGGGACCTGTAGTGTGCCGGATTAGTGACTTGGCCGGATTACAGAGTGGTTAGGTTAGAATACACTTAATTAACCTATCAATAGAGAGGCTGTTACATCTTCCTCATTTTCATCACTGCTTTCTCCTCCACTGGCTTGCTGCTGTGGATTTACAAACATCTGCACAATTTCTGAGTCAGTATAATGACGAAATTAAAGTCAGTATAATGATTTGAGTCAGTGTAATGATGAAATTTGAAAATATTAGTAATGGAACCGGATAACTGATTGCCGGATTAGTGATGGCCGACCTGTACTAAATGTGTGTGGGCCATATAGGGTTGGGTCATACCTTATTTATCCACTAATTATCAGTTACTTCTTTGTTCTTTATGTTCTTCACAGCTAATTTCTCATATATGTTCCCCTTCCTGTCTTTCAAGGTAAAACCCATCTTACCAAAGAATTACAAAAGTTACCCTGTTTTGGATCATACATGCAATAAATTCAGTTTATATTGATTTAGGTGAATATTACCAGTAATTTATATTTTTGTGGCATCTTAATGGCCTGTGCTTCTTTGTGTTAAGCAATCTTAATGTACAACAGATGTTTAATTTTTCCCGCAGGAAAGTGTGGCAGAGTTACCGAGATCCGAGGGTGGGATAATGAATCTGGAAGATCAGTGGCCAATGTAACCTGGCTCTGTGGGTCAACTAATGTCTACAGAGTTGGACATAAGGGAAAAGTTGATCTCAAAGTTCTGTGGCCTGCCACAAATGGTTCCATTTATACACAGCATCTCCCGGTGCTTGGTAAACAAGAAGGTGAGTGTATTGTGCTCTTTGCTTAATGCAAGTGTTTACTTTATTGCATTAATGTAATGAATATTTTGTAATATTTTGTAATATTTTTGTAATATTTTGTAATATGGAAAGAGGGGGTAAAGGAGGTTTTGTGGGCGAGGGGCTTGGACTTCCAGCAAGCGTGCATGAGCGTGTTAGATAGGAGTGAATGGAGACGAATGATACTTGGGACCTGACGATCTGTTGGAGTGTGAGCTGGGTAATATTTAGTGAAGGGATTCAGGGAAACCGGTTATTTTCATATAGTCGGACTTGAGTCCTGGAAATGGGAAGTACAATGCCTGCACTTTAAAGGAGGGGTTTGGGATATTGGCAGTTTGGAGGGATATGTTGTGTATCTTTATACGTATATGCTTCTAAACTGTTGTATTCTGAGCACCTCTGCAAAAACAGTGATAATGTGTGAGTGTGGTGAAAGTGTTGAATGATGATGAAAGTATTTTCTTTTTGTGGATTTTCTTTCTTTTTTGGGTCACCCTGCCTCGGTGGGAGACGACTGACTTGTTGAAAAAAAAAAAAAAAAATGTTTAATTGTCTTGTTAGTAGGTTGGTAGACAGCAACTGCCCAAGGAGGTAATACTGTTCTTCCAAGTGAGTGTAAAATGGAAGCCTGTAATTGTTTACATGATGGTAGGATTGCTGGTGTCTTTTTTCTGTCTCGTATACATTCTAAATTTCAGGTACCTTTTGCTACTTCTCCTTACCTTAGGTACACTCACACCCAGTACAAGTATATATATAGCACCCTTGGGGTTTTTTCTATATCTTATAGTTCTTGTTTTGTTTATTTCCATTATCCCATGGAGAAGGGGAAACAAAATTCTTCCTCAGTAACCCATGTATTGTAAAGGCGACACTGCCGGGAGCCGGGGTAGTAACCCTTTCCTGTTTCTTTTTGAAGTTAAAAAAGAGAAATTTTGTTTTTTTTTTTTGGGGAACCCTGTTCAGGGGGATATGGCCTGTTTGTTGAATACCTTTACCTTTGATATACCTTTGAAGAGTTTTGAGAGTTTCACTTCTCTCGGAGTCTGGCTGGCCATGGGCTGGGCTCATCTTGTACTTGCCTGGTCAACCAGGCTGTTGTTGCTGGAGGCCCACTGCCCCACATGTCCATCACAGCCTGGTTGATCTGGCACCTGGTGAAGATACTTGTCCAGTTTCACCCGTGTTTCTGATATCTTCTGATAAGATGTTGAATAGTCTGGGACCCCGGATGTTGATAAAGGGTTCCCTTATTGTCTCCACCGCACCCCTGCTCCTTACTGGGTTTATTTTACACTTCCTCCCATATATCTCACTCCAGTATGTTGTTATGGCAGTGTGCATATTGGGGGACCAAGCCCTCGAGTACTTTCCAGGTATGTATATACAGTGGACCCCCGCATAACGATGGCATCACATAGCGATTTTTCCGCATACCGCTTACTTTTATCGCAAAATTTTTGCCGCGCATACCGATTAAAAACCCGCTCACCGATTTTCGTCCGAGACGCGTCCAATGTGCCCTCAGCCAGCCTCACATGTGCCGCCCGTCCCATTGTTTACCAGCCAGCCTCCACGGTAACATCCAAGCATACACTCGGAATATTTCGTATTATTACAGTGTTTTCGGTGCTGTTTCTGGAAAATAAGTGACCATGGGCCCCAAGAAAGCTCTAGTGCCAACCTGTGGTAAAAAGGTGAAGAATTAGTATGGAAATTAAGAAAGATTTTGAAGGGTTTGGGGCTAACCCTGAGAAGCCTATGCCAGTTGTGGAATCCATTGTGCCTACTTTCAAAGATTAAGGAAATGTGTGCACAGTGGTTGAACTGCAAACCTTTATGGATGAAAATCACCCTGACACAGCTGTTGCAAGCCGTGCTGGTGACTATTTCAATGACAATGTTGTGGGCCCATTTTAGACAAATCGTAAAGGACGGGAGGTACAGAGCTCTATGGACAGATTTGTTGTGCGACAGAGGTCCAGTGACTCTCAAGCTGGTCCTAGTGGCATTAAAAGAAGAAGGGAAGTAACCCCGGAAAAGGACTTGCTACCTCAAGTCGTAATGGAAGGGGATTCCCCTTCTAAACAGTAAGAAGATAATTGCTCCTCCCCTCCTCCCATCCCATCAATCATCACCAGATCTTCAATAAAAGTAAGTGTCATGTAAGTGTGCATGCCTTTTTCAGTTTGTGTGTATTAAAATTAATATTTCATGTGGTAAAAAAATTTTTTTTTCATACTTTTGGGTGTCTTGCACGGATTAATTTTATTTCCATTATTTCTTATGGGGAAAATTCATTCACATAACGATTATTTCGCATAACAATTACCCCTCTTGCACGGATTAAAATCGTTAACCGGGGGTCCACTGTATTATCATGTATCTCTCTCTCCCCTCCACTCAAATGAGTACATGTTCAAGACTTGAAGGCATTCCCCAGCAATTTAGGTGCTTTACTGGCTCAGTGTGAGCCATAAACAATCTCTGTACAGTAGGGCCCCACTTATAGGGCAGGTTAGGTTCCAGGCTACCGCCATAAAGCGGAAATCGCCGTAAAGTGGAACACTTTTTTTCCACTTATAAATGCATACAAATACTAGATAACAAGTTTACACTAACATATATTAAGTTAGCAATAGAACTTGGCATCAAAAAAACAATAAAGTACAATACACACATAGTGCACTCATTACTTACCTTAAAATATTTATAGTCTTAATCTAGGGTGAGACAAGTAGTATTTATTGTAAGAAATCAAGTTTGGTATGTATGGTAGTCAGCCAGGCTACCATACCAGGCCACCCCACCTACACATAATATTCTATTACATTTAAGCATCCCAGAGCGATAAAATGCATATACAGTTTACTCATTACTTACCTTAAAATATTTGTAGTCTTAATTTAGGGCGAGATGAGTAGTATTTATTGTAAAAAATCAAGTGTGGTATGTGTGGTAGTCAGCCGGGCTACCATACCAGGCCAACCCACCCACACATATATTCTATGATATTTAAGCATCCCAGAGCGATAAAATGTATATACAGTTCACTCATTACTTACCTTAAAATATTTGTAGTCTTAATGTAGGGTCAGGAGTAAGTAAATGAGATAAAACGAATAAATGAGAGAGAGAAAGAATGAGTGCATGAGAGAGGACAGGCACAGAGTTATGTAAACAAACTAGGCGAAGGTAAGTTTTGTAAACAAAGTGTACACGTCTGGTTCTACATTGATACGGTAGAATAAATAAAGAAGAAGACTCCCATTCTCATGTAACATCATTTTGAGAAGAAATGACTCTCTGAGTGAAGGCAATGGAAATAAGTCACTCTGACTTGTTTTTGGTTATCCTAGGTTCTCTACACATATGCTGTTATGTATGATAATCTATGTAACTGTATTTGTGTATACCTGAATAAACTTACATACATACGAAAGGAATAATTTTCTACAGTTACTCCCAGTAACACATTTTCTCTCATGTTAGATTAGAGAAAATGTTATTCTTGCCTTCACTTGTACAAGTTATCTGGCTACCACATCTCATATTTATGTTTGTTTATTCTATTGTGGGGTGTATTTATCATCTTTTTATGTTATGTATCATGTTTATTATATAATTTTGAAAAAAATATCATGGATAGATTAATGAAAACGTGTATATTAATGTAATATACGACATTTAATGAGACTCGGTGATTATTATTATTATTATTATTATTATTTCTAATATGGCGTCACTTGTGCAAGTCGTCTGCTACCACATCTCATATTTATGTTTATTTATTCTGCTGTGGGGTGTATTTATCATATTTATATGTTATGCATCGTGTTTATTATATAATTTTGAAAAAAATATCATAGATGGATTAATGAAAATGTGTATATTTATTTATTTATTTATTTATTTATTTAAAAATTTGTGCACACATACAGAGGTACAAAAAATACAGAAAAGAGCAGTATGCCAAAGCCACTTATACTATGCATAGCATTACGGGCTGGCTTAAAATTAACTTAAGATGAACTAAGCAATGATGACATCGGTGATAAAACTTTAATGTAAACAGATTACTATAAAGCACAAGTGAGTATTACAAAGACAGGTCATATGGTTGTATGCATTGTTGTACATTCAGTAGAATGGAGTATTCTGTTAGGTAGTGTATTTAAAAAATAATAAAGTTAGATTGGGTTTTGGGTTTAACATTTATGTGATAAATTGTGAGAAACTTTTAAGATATACAATTTAAGGTTCAGTTATTCAGTATTTTTTTGGGTTTTTGGGGTGGAAATGATTTTTGAGAAGAGACTTGAATTTAAAAAAGGGTAGTGTTTCTTTTATATTTACAGGTAGGGGTTTCCGATTTTAGGGCCTTTTATGTGCATTGAGTTTTGCATAGTGTGAGGGACACGGGAACATCAAAGAGTGATTGTGCCTTGTTTTTGGTCATGTGTTCGTGAGGTTGGCAAGGAGATTTTTTGAGGGGAGGGTTAATATCAGAGTTAAGTGTTCTTGATGTATAGGTGCAGTAAAAAGTATGAATGTTTTGTATGGGAATGGTTTGTGTATTGAATATTGGTGGAGTGTGCTCCCTTTTGGGGGGAAAATTTTTTATCATTCAAATGAGCCTTTTGTTGGGAAATTAGTGGTCTGAGAGGGTTTACTTGTTGTTGGCCCCATCCCAAAAATTATAGGGGGAGATGGGGTAAAAAAAGGATTTGATTAGGGCCGGGGGCTGACTGGGGAGCTATCCGTATCTTCGATATTTGCCTACAGTTTTGGAAATTTTCTTAAAAAATTTTTTGTTATGTGTATGAAATTTGAGTCTTTATCAAGGTGGATTCCTAAAAAATTTTTCCCTTTTTGCTTTGTGATAGGTTGATCCGTTTATCATTATTTTAGAGGGAATCTGTAGCTCGTTCCAACTGATGAAGTAGGTTTTGTCAATGTTTAGTGTAAGTTTTTTTGTC